AAAAAAACAAAAGAACAAACCATCCCTCGTTATGAAGAAAGATGTATTTAGAGTATTTAGGCAGTTCATTACTATTCTCCCCTAGGGGATGCGCAAGTATTTAAGAATTTTAGCACCTACATTGAAGATTTTATATTTAAATTTTAAATAAATGAAAGAAAAAAAAGGTTATTTCAATTGTAAGTTGCACCAACAATACTAATTGCGTAGGATGGGCCTTGGTTCTAGTTTTCATAAAACCAATTTCCCTTTCCCAAATTGGCAAAAGTCTACTTTTAATCCCTCACCTTCAAAGTTTGAATGTTTTAATACCTAACCTTATACTATGACATTTTTAACCCCTTACCTTATTAGATTTGTAGATTTTAACCTCTCAACTTATATTATGACACTTTTAGCCAATCACATATTAAAATTAAAGAAAATAACATTTACTTTATAACATTTTATTAGTTTTGTTAATTGACTGTTAACTCTATTAACTAATTGTTAGTTGACTGTTAGTTGTCAAAAACCTTCTTTCAATTAATAGAATTAACAGAATTAACTTTATAACATTTTGTTAATTTTGTTAATTGGCTATTAATTAACTGTTGGTTGATAAAAATCTACTTTTAGCTAATAGAGTTAATAGTCAATATAAAGTGAGGATTATTTTCTTCGATTTTAATAGGTGAGGGGTTAAGAATGTTATAATATAAGGTAAAGGGTTAAAACCTTCAAACTTGATAAGGTGAAAGGTTAAAAGTAAATTTTTGCCTCCCAAATTCTCATATGTTAAAAAGAAAAAAAGTTGATTACTATTGCAATTTTTGGAAGTTAAGAAATCATCCATCTTCCAAAACAACTATGCATGACCCATTTGAACGTAATTAAGGAAACTCCAGACCTCTTAAGCGGCATCCAAACAAAGATTCATAATCTCAAGTCACATTGGCACATGAAAATAAAATACAAAAGCAAACCACTGTTGATATCTCTTCATTAAAAAACACAATTTGTTAGGCTTCGCTGAATACAATACTAATGGCATCAACATCACCATTACCATCAAAATATGTTGTCTTAGCTGAGATTAAACAAACTCAAAGAACAAGTGTGGCTCAACGCCTCAAACAAAGCACTCCACTAGATTCTGTCTAGCTCTATCTCTTGCATTTAGTTTAGTCATATATAATGACAATCCTGAGCCATTGACTAATAGATCTGGAGATAAACTCTCCAATCTCTTACTTGAGATCTTGTTACCATGTCTGAACTTTTCCATCATAACATGGAGGGTACTTGATGGGACATAGCTAGCTAGAATTCATGCATGGGAAAGTAGGTGTTATTATTGGCATAATTTGAGTCAATTCATGAGGATTTTTTATGACGTCGATCGATTCTCAAGACAGGAAATCCAAGTTCATGCTCTTCAGAGTTTAGGTAATGTTACCGTGTATAAACTCATTGAAAGGCCCAAAGAAATTGTTTTGGGGGGTTACCTATCAAAGATGGATATGTTTTTACAAATTGTTTCAATTTGTGTTAAGGTTTGTGATGAGATGCATTTTATATGTTTTAATCTATTATTGTAGTCTTGATTTGTTACTATATGCATAGATAAAATGTGATTTTCAATAGATTATTCATAATTTTCGTTCTTAATTAGGAAAATGACTTAAACGTATAATAAGAGGAGTTTTTTAGATTAATTAAATATGTTTTGATAGTTGAGTACTAAATTGCAAGAAGAAAGGTTCCTAAAAGGAACCTAAATGAACGAATCCAAAGTTATGGAATCAAAGTTCTCATTATATGAAAGATGGAGGACCAGATCATTGAAAATTTGCAAAAGGGTGTAGAAATTACCAGACGCAGCTTTGGTGTCGACACCTACTTCGTTATGTCAGCACCATGCGTTAAGGCTCTGAAAGGCAAGATCCGCGTGAAATAAATAAAAGTGCCGACCCTTACATTTTGGTGTCCACTCTAAACATTCTTTCACATTTAAGAAATTTTTTTTATCATGGTTTTTTCTTATATTCTAATAGGATTTTTTAAAGTTTATAAATACTCATTTAAAACCAAATTTGGGAGCCTTTGGGGATCAAAAGAGAAACTAAGAAAAACTTAATTAAAAAAAATCAAGATTTAAGATTTTATATTGTCAAATTAAGTTTTAATTGCTTTTAAATTTTGTTTTATAATATCA